TATAATTTGAATAAAATTGAAACCTGATATACGGGAAATATAAAATAAATTAAATTCTTAATTCAACTAAATACAATCAATAAAGAGAAAGCGATAAGCCTACCACAGCATTGATTACGTCTCAAAAATGAGAAAAGCGATTTAATTTAATGGTAAATTTGAAAGTTTAGGGTAAGCACCAGCAAAAGAAGTTTAGGGCTGAGAAATTAATATAGTTAGAAACTTTATTATAGAATGTAAGGCTAAATCAAATACTAAATAAATAAGTTTCGGAGCATAAAAACGCCTTGCAACTATCCGATGTATATAATACAAAATTTTAAAAACAATATGTAAATTACAATAAGATATAATTAGAGATATAAAATTTTATAATATAAAACATGCATTTATTTAAAATTCAAATATTTTAAATAATACTATTATCACGTTTATTCAAAGTCCAAATCTAAGTTATTAATATAATAAACTAAAGAAAAGACAATCTTGATGAAATTGATTTACAGTGAAATGATCATTGAAGTTAATGATTAAAAAACTCCAAAATTTTGATACGAAATAAAAACTATTACTTAATTATATATAGTAGCATTTAAAACAATTAATAGACCTATTTTAAAATTAAGTTAACAAAAACTGTCTCATTATTTTTTAACAGAGCAATAAAAAATTTATTGTCGTTAATTTTATGTGCACTTTGAAAAAAGTTTAGTATAATATTACTAACAATAATAAAATTTACTATATATTATATTATTTTTAGTATTGTTTACAAATCGTTTTTTTTTATTCTTTTAAACATATTAGTATCATTGGTTTTTTTTTTGTAAAATAAAATGTTAGTGGAGGAGTTTAATTTACCAGATTCAATTTCTAAACTAATTGTAGCGTGGGTTTGATGGCGTTTAAATAAAATCTATGATAAACCGATGATAGATGAAACTTTCAAATTATAATTCAAGATTTGTGCAAATCATTCAAGAAATTTAGAGATAGGAACACAATTTTATAAAAAATATAACATTCTAAAAGATGGTGATGATAAACCTATTTCTTAAAGTTGAGTAACATTCAGAATAAATCCGTCGATAGCAGCTTTTTATGATTAAGCTAAGATTGACATATTTTCAACAAAAGGTTTAAATTCAATGATTAAGCTTCGTGATAGCCACTGATGAATGAAATGTTTTAATTAAAAAGAATAAAACCATTAATAAAAGAATTAGTGGTTACTATTATTTGCAATTCATGATTCATTTTCTGTTGAATTATTTTAATTATATCGCAAAACTGATACATTCTCTAAAGCTTTCAACGCCTTCTATAAAATAGTAAACCGACAATGAATTATATGACGTGTTTCTGTTTAGATACTTTGGCCAAATTTGCTAAAGACGTCTAGTAAAAACACCCACATTATGTTAATGTTGTAAAATTAGTGACATTTATATAAACAAATTATGTGAAAAAATAACGTATTTATATACAAATTATTAAATTAAAATAAAATTTTTGTTACGTTTTAATTTGTTTTTAATAAATTTTTACAAATTTATTCTAAATAAAATTACAGCAAAAAATTATATTATACACTTTAAACTACACAATAAAATACGATTTTTTTTCTTGATAATTATAGACTTCTTATATTTAAATTGTTTTCAATTTATATTTCTGTTTTTGCTGGGCTTTAGGTCGTATTTTTAAAAATTATATATTTTTATAATAACTTATTTTATATAAAAATAAACTTAATATTAAACAAAAAGTATCAAAAGTTGTTAACTTAAGTATATATTTATTTAACAGATATTTCGATCCATCTTCAGTGTTATTGTTTTAAATTTGTACAAAATTGAAAGCACCATTATTTAAATAATTTATATTTTTTTATTTTATTTTTTAAATTTCTGAAATATTATTACCGTCATTATAAATTTTTGGCAAATAAGTAAGTAATCTAAACCATTCATTTGAGTTGAGTTGAGCACTTGTGCTGTTAAGAAGTATAAAAACAAAATAATAATTTGCAACAACAGCGACGTTGTTTCGTGTACCACAAAAGCTTGTTTCTAATGTATAAAATTAATTTAAGTGGAAAGTGTACATAGTCAAGTAAATAAATAGTAAAATAGTAGTCAAGTAGTAAATCATTCTTCCAAATGAGATATTAAAATTGAATTTGAAAATGTTTTAACGAAAAATAAGTTCAGTATGTAATCAGAACAATATCAAAGTTTAATTTAATTAATTTTGAAAATAATGCCGGAGATTTGTCTAGCTTCAAAATTGAATAGGTAATAGAGATTAGCTAAAAATGACAGTATTGCATTATAATAGTAAATTTATTGAAATGATTGTTTTCAGTAGTATATGAAATTTTATGAGAAGTAAATGGCAACTTCGTTTATTGGCAACAATTTTTAAGGAATTAACATATGATGTAAACTATTCTAAATAGTAAGACGTATTAAAACATATTCAAACACGATCAATTTAAGTTAAAGGTCAATTCCAAGTATAAAATGAGAAGAACATGTAACTTAACTAAAAGACTACATACAATATGATTACTATATAAACAAAAGAATGTGTTAAAAATTGTTACACATAATATACTATACTAAGTTCCATTACCTTTTACCTAGTATGTAATCGAAAAATGCAAGCAATTAAGGACTATATACAATATAATGATATAGTGTATATAACTGCTTTTCATCTAAGTTATACGCAACACAATAATTTTAGAAAATTTTTGCAGAAACATAACGTTATTCATACGGTAACATTGTGGCTTCAGTTTTATATCAGCGAGTTTGTGGTGGTGAATACTGTAGTCAGGGGAATGAGAAAAATATGCACTTCTATAACATGAAAACAAAAAACAAAACAAAAATCTTGGCTGATAAAAATTCTTACTACATTTCAAGATGTACATAGCCTTGAATAAGAAACGTACAAGTTAACTGGTTCAACTAAAGCGGGACCTACTAAGTTCATGCTATGAAACTTGTGCTACTCTATTGTGAGTTTTCATCTTCTTTGTAAACATCTATCCTTGTCCAACAGAATACAAAAAATGTTTGGGGACTTTTTTACTAACTAACACAGTTAGTATTCAAAGTTCAATAAAATAACTTCATTTTTTAGTCTACATAAACACTTAGTATAATTAAAAACTATTATATCGTTGTGGAAAGTTAATTTTTCATAATGTCGAAACAGGTGCTCGTTTATAAATTTAATTTTTATTTCCATATCAGTAATTATTTCATAATAGTTTAGGTATTTTCTTTTATGGATTTCGTCTCCAACTTTTCTTAATCAACAATAATCAACAGTAATCAACATTTGGCTGTTAATTAATGTTATTCAATATGCGGAATTATTAATGTTGGAAAGAAAGCATTTATTTTAATATTAATTAAATGTTTTATAATATATTATATAGTATTCAAAATTATATAAATATAAAAATATTTTATCACCTCTTCAAAGGTGTCGTAAGTAACTAACTAACACCTGTAAATATGTTATTATTTCATAGAAATACAAAAATAAATGACATTAAAAATTAAGAGAAAATAGATATATTATTAAAGACTCAGTCAAATACAACAAATATAAATCAATCAGATATTTTTTCTTTTATATTATTTGATGATGAATAACTGATACTCATATTTTAGTTAAAATTTAATTACTGATCTATAAAATTACAAAAAAAATTATTAATGTTCATTATTACTAATAATTAAAAAAAGTATAAAATTCATGTTATTTAAAGATAAGAAGCATTTTTTTCATTTATATTCAAATTAATTCTACATCTGTCTGCTTTCACAAATAAAGTAAATTTTAATCACTTTGTCAATATACAAACCACTGAATTGTATATATATGTATATATATAACGCAATATTCAGATAAATGTGTTGCAAATGATTTCGCTTGATACGTATATTAAATTAAGATCAATAATGTAACTGAATGCAAAATCTTTAATATTTAACTCTATATATCGAACTAAGAAATCAAACTTTGTGAGAATTATAAAGTAATCTGTATTAGTTTAATTCTAATACCTAATAGTTATTTAATTTACATTATGAATTCTTAACATGTAGCTTTGACTTAGCTTTTTATTGAGTAAAAATATAAACATAAATGAGGAATAATTAGATTGATTATTTGTTTAAAGGTATTTCTACTACAATGCGCTACTCTATGTTAACTTAATTAAAACTTACTGTTAAGGATACGCAATTTGAATCTATTGCTATATGAAGATATTTCAAAATAAAGATATATAAAGATAACTTTATATACTATATATAGCTCAAAGAACAAATAAATGTCTTGAAAGAAAATCTGACATGTACTGATCATAAAATAAACTGAATTATTTTTCAAACTGACATTAGTAATTTGTGAACAAAATTAATCGAGGTGAACCTTGCGAACGATTAAAATCGTTACCAAAAACTTAACCCATGTAAAGGTTTTAATGAATGGAATCAAAGTAGTAAGTTACCCAAAATGGTAATTCTTTCGAAAATTATAAAATAAATATTTAAGAGCAATAAAACATTTTAGCTTCAAAAAAATTTTCTAGATATATTGAGAGAAATATTCCAAATGCATTTTCAAAAATAATTAAATTATAATACATATATCTAAACAGATATATACAAATAGATATATATATATGATAATATATGTAAATATTATAATCTAAAGTTATTTAAGACCAAGATATATTAAAGGGTTAAATTCATTGGAATTTTTAAATCCATTCACTAAAAATATATATAAATTTTATATATAAATATTTGTCATATATAAATCGCTTAATACTAAATTATGTGAAATAACTTTCTTGACTTTCATAAATGTATTTTAGCTCATTTATCTAGCGTACGTGATTTAATAAATTTTACGTGCTAATATATGTATGTTCTAAGATTTGTGAAAAGTTATAAATATCCAATTTTTGAAACGATTCAATTTCATTTCTAAAATGTTGTACATCAAATTAAAATTGCCTTGGGTTTTTGTGATAATGCTTTTCTTCTCTCATGTAAGTAAAATTTACAAAAAAAATATCTTAAAATTTTATCAAATTATTTTAAAAATAATGTTTAGTTTATCATAGGAATCTGGAGCACTGAAACAGCTAAACGCCAACGAGACGATTTATTGCGGGAAGGCTTAGAAATACTAACAAATTTGGATGAGATTAAAAACACTTTGCCAAATTTATTACAGATAGCACCCAGAATATGTCCCATATTACAAATTTTGATTTCACTATTTGAGACGATTTTGCCTATACTAAAAAATCACTACGCATTAATAAAACCTACCTGCCCGGTAATTAAAGGTCTTGACGTTGTCTCTAATGGTAGTTAAAATATTTATTATGATGTACTAAGGATATTCGTGTTAGCAAAAGCAATCAAATTAAATTATTAAATTTTTTTACAATGCGAATTATGATTTTAATGTATGATTCATTATAATTATTAACAATGAATTCATATTAATAATATATTAAAAAAATTTCGAATAGTGCAATTATGTTATATTTTTAAGTGATTGAAATAAAAATATAATAAATAAGAAAATATTAATATTTTCTAGTGAATTTAAATTTGTCTTTAGTAGAAAGCAGCTTTAACTTTGTTGTCTTCCGTGTTTAGTGTTACTGCACTTATATATGCGTAAATATTTATTATTTGCCAATTCTGGGCTTAGTTAACAATATATTATTACGAAAATGAAGAAGTATCAATTGAACGAATAACAAAATATACCCCATTTTATATATTTTTAGTGAATCAAACATGATTGGTTTTTTAAAGCAGTAATTGTAAAAGTTTAATATAATTTGAAAAACTTTTTACCCAAAATTTAATTCCAAATTTTAATCATAAAACTTTTCGATTATAATTTGATATTTTAATTACTAATTGCATACTTTAATTTTAATACTTTTAAATATTTTTAAATATGCTTCGGTTATGAGCAGCATTACTTGTTTTAAATCATATAAAATAGACTTATTGTCCTCATGGTTTTTTAAGAATAATAATATAGAAGGAGGATATCTTAAAATTTACTATCTAGTAAGTAAATATTTAGAAAAAATGATTTCATCTAATTTAGATATCATATTTAGTGTTATTACAATCTTAATTATTGTATTAAAATTATAAGTTTAAAAATATTAATCAATATACTGATACAGAACTTACTCTTTAAGCTTGAAAATCTGTATTACAAAGTTTATCGGTTCACTTACCTAAAACGAAATGAAATAAATAAAATAGTTATTATTAATTATGTAAATAAAAAATAAAAATAAAATACAAAAATATGAATATAAAAAATAAGTAAACGACATATATCTTTATAGACTCAATCATTATACAAGTACGTAAAATCTTTATAGAGATATAATTCAATTACATTAAAAGTTTAATATAAGTCCATATGGCACATTATCATCATAGCGATGTAATGAAAAATGCAGTATCGCAATTGCATCCTTATATATTTAAGATGAATTGGTGAACAAATCTAAACAATTAAAATCTCAAATTTGTTGAACAAAAAATGTATTGTGTTTATATTGTATTATCAAATAAAGCAAGTGATATTAGGAAGTAAGCTAAGTGTTTAATTTTTCTATATATATTTGTATATAATTATTTTTTGATTTTGAACGATCATACATCTCATGTTTATAAGAAAAATTGCAGTTCTTGAACCTATTATATAGTGACTTGTTACAACATAGAATTAGTTTAAAATATAAAATACTGTGAATAAAAAACCATTTATAGATAGAACGACCAATACTGCTATATAATTTTAAGGACGGAGTAGCTTTCAATTATAAATTCATTAGTTAATTGATGAAATAACTCAAAACGCCTAAATTCCTACTAATTTGTTTAGATCTAAGCTCTTCTCAAAGTTCAAATCAGATGATTGTAAGACAAAAAAGGCAGTTCTCATGACCGATTCAAATATTTTAAACGATACTGATTTCACACCTTTATAATTTCGCATTAGATAAAAATATATATACAGGGTGTTTTATGACATAAATTTTTATATATACGTTGTATTTCATATATTGATTACGGAATGTTACTTATTTATAAGACGAACGATCGTTATTCCTAATTCTTTCTAAACTAGTACATTTGTTTGTATAAAAATTGGAGTTCACAGCTATCACCGAATTTAAAATCGTGTCAGGAAAGAAAGATATTTTAGTAATATTCGATGTGAAACATCAATGTTGACAAAATAGTAGAGAATAAAAAGAATCGTGCACTCTTATGAAAATATTAATATATTAATGTATTAACCAGGAATGTGTTAATCTCATCTAATATATAATTTAGTTTAGTTCAATCCAAATGGCAACAACTGCAAGGTTAAAAAGAAAGCGAAATTAAATATAATACTTTCAAATATATATACTTCTTTGTGCAATATCAAAACGACACATCCCCCATGATAAAAATAGCAGCCGCTGTCCCTCAAGGGAGTGTATTACATCCGATTCTGTATCTACTATACACTGCAGACATTCCTAAAGCAAGAAATGGAGAAATACTAACTGTAACTTTTGCTGACGGCACTGGACTTTTATCAACAAACCCGGACATTAGTTAGAATAGCAACTGCAAACCTTCAAAATCATTTGATGAAATGGCTCGACACCTGGGACCTTAAGATCAACTGTCCAAGTTATTTTTACTCAAAATTATAAACATTGATATACTAATCCGCAAGAAAGCCAAATACCTGAGCATGGTATTAGACCAAAAGCTAAAAGAAAATTTGCAGGTCTAAATTGGTTTCATCGTAAAAATTATAGTCTGTCAATTAATAACAAAATATTACTCTACAAAACAGTTATTGTTCCGATTTGAAAATATGGGATTGAAATATGAGGAACCACCTATAAGACAAATATAATAACTATCCGGAGGCTTCAACCAAAAATCCTGCGAACAATAGTGGATGCTAGATGGTACATCACAAATGACGATATTCACAAAGACCTGAAAATCCATACTGTACATGAAACAATCCAAAAGAGCAGTGTTAACCATGTATCTAAATTGCTGCACACAAATTTAGAAATTTATACTCTAGTTTCAAGGCAGAACCGTCTAAAACGCAGACTTCCAACCTACTTAGGAATTAGGTATTAAATTAAGTTGAATTCTTTAATGTATATATGTATTGAAATTATATGAAATGCATTAAAAATATCATTAACATGTTATCTTAAATAATAATTTAGGACGACTTAAACTTCCAAAATTCATTTGTTAAAAGTAGTACTAGATATCTAAGATAGTTGTAATTGTAATGGAATAATAAAAAAAAAGCATAATGTTTCATTTTTAATGAGTTAAAATAGAATATAAAATAAAAATAAATGTATTGGAATTGAAATCTGTTCCTGAGGCATAATTCAAATTTTAAATATAATTTTCCACTGCGTGTATTTTCTGCACTTAATACAATAAAAATAAATTATTTGTAATATAATTTAAATTGAAATGACTTTTACTGTTGAAAAATGATATACAAAGTTTCAACCACAATTTACTTGGAAACTAATAAAAATTCAAGCTGTTCATGTGATATATCATATCAGCGTTAACATTAATTTAATATCTATATAGTTTTTTCATCTCATGTTTTTTATTTCAAATTGCATGTATTTATTTTTTTTATACTAAAATTACTTAAAATTATGTTTAGCAGAATTGAACATAGTTTTTATATGCTAAAAGCATGAGGAGAAAGGTATCAATATGTCAAAAGAAGTGTACAACCTTCAACTTGTTGAAAGCAGTTCAGTGTTTTTCTATGACCCAGTTTATGGGTAAATATTAAAAAGTTATGAAACTGTTTATTTATATTTTGCCACAAAATACTTTAAAGTTATGATCACTAAAACAAACAAACAAAAATCGTACACAATTCAGCGGAAGTTGAGGTTTATAAATCAGCTGGAAATGTTGTTTGGTTGTAGTTAAATATATCAAACATAACAAAAGGAAAAGCAAATATTTCATAAATGAAAATAAATAAAGCTACATGTAACCTGAATATAAATTTTAAGATAATTTAACAGAAAGTGTTATAAAATAAAATATATTATTTAATATTAACTTAAAAACGGGGAAAAAATTAGAAATCGTGATATAATATTAACATTAATGAGAGTGCCGGTAAAGTTCAGTTATTAATGTAAATGCATGCATTATTTGTGATCATGAAGTAGAGCACATTTACACCACCTACTCAAATTTTCTTGAAAGTTGATTTTTTTATTCATTACTCGTAATTACACTTTCAGTTTAAGCACTTATAATGGAGCGTTTCAATTTCCTCAATAAAATGTTAACCCTTTTTGTCTTATACAATATACTCGTATTGTAATTAAAGTTATAAAAAAATATGTCTTCATAGATATAAATTTTAGAATAGATACAATACAACATAAGAAGTTTAAATACTAATTATTAAATTAAATAAATGTTTAAATTTAGGAACCGTTGGTTAACATACAGCAAACTACTTAAAGGAAATCTTTATGTGGTTTTATATGAATTTTTTAAAACTATTCCCTATTATTATATTATGTTATCTTGAAAAGTACTTATGAAAATCTCACTTTATGTGGAAGCTATGATCCACAACTGGTAGCTGTTTCAAAAACACGAAAAAAGTAGTTGATAATTGGTTAGCACACAAATTTTCTTTTTCTTAACAAAAACTCTTGACATAAAGGTTATAAGTGTTAGCTGCCAGTAGCTACCATTTCCATTAACACCTTAAATGCTATAAACATACATTTTTTTATATCTTTGATGTAATAATAAAATAATATATAGTATAGGCAATTTTTAAAATTCGGACCGCAATCAGTGCTATATCTCATATGCACTTTACTAACTTACTAACCTGCCACACAAATAGCTAAATCTGCAGTTAAGGTTAACTTGAAGCTAACAAGCCATAGCTGCTGTCCGCGCTTTATAGCAAAGCCTCATAGTAATTGTGCTGCATATGGCGAATAATAAAGAAAATATGTATATTTAAATTATTGACATTAGTAATTTTTTGTTTTTGTAACAAAAAGCATTGCAAACATCAAATGCAAACTGCAACTCGCCATCGCAACAAATAAGGAAATTAAGTCAGCAACATCGGCGTCTGACATCAGCAAACCAAAAGATGCAATCTGAGCTGCTGATGTTAAGGCCAATAAATACAATCGAGTAAATGTTGCAATTGCCAGTCTGGCAGAAATGAATTGTGCTTACCATTCGCTATGCCAGTAAATTGTTTTCAATTCTGTTTTACCCAGCATGTTGCTAGCCCAAAGCAGTTGAACTTTACTTTATTGAGTTAAAATTATTTTAAATATTGGTTTTTATTTATAAATGCATCGTCAGTCGGCTGCGTTGAAA